AGTGGTTAATGTCAATGAAATTTTAGCTCTTAATAGACTTTATGACAATGTTAAATGATATAATCCTCACAACTGTTTATATTTTAAACATACCTAAAATGCAGTCCTGACAATATTAAATATATTAGATGAACCTTTGAATGTTCTGAAATGACAGAATCACTGTGCTGTAAAAACTATGGAAAGCAAGCAATCACATCCTATTTATGCCTCATGTTAAAATTAACTTTGTTTTTTCCAGTGCTAAAATTTTGCAGCAACCTCACCATTTATAAAGTCAGGAATTGGAAATCTGGTTTGTATTATTTAATTTTTGGATTTTGATGGTCAGTTTAGGATTAACTATTTTAGAGAATTTATCTGGGCGAAATGTTTCGATTGTCCTTATGGAATATTTCAGTAAATAGCCTTTTTTTTTCAACAATAAGAAGGAAGAAGAAGGGGAAAATTGATTTAAAAATAGAAGTTTTGTCCTTTTTTTTTTTTTTTTAATCAGGAAACATAAGATAATTTGTTAATTTTGCTCTGATCACCTATTTACTTGGTATTTTAAAAAATTCTCAGTTATTCATTAGCTTTGATACATTAATTAATTATTACTTATAAGGAGATCCCATGCCTTCCCACCACACAAAATATGTATTTTTACTCAATTCCAAGAAATCGTCTGTGCTAACACTGTAACACTTTGGCTCCAGCACATCTAGATTTCTATATTTTTAGGTCTGTACCATGCTTATTCTTTATTTAAGTTCAAATAAAATTATCTGATTAAAAATACTTCTAAAACTTATTGTGAGTATTTAACAGATGATAAAATATTGGGAGACGTTAAAGATTTCTTTTGGAGTAAGTATGACTAGATAAAGGCATTTGTATGTTTCCTTTGGTACATATTTACCATAATACATAATAATAAACCTGTCACAATCTCTGTGTCAGCTCACTTAGTTTTTTCCCTTTTCAAAATGGGCCCACACTCTTCATGTAAGACAAAACAAAGAAAATTCACAGTGATACTCCATGGTCAGGCATTGTGACACCACTATGGACCAGAGGCTGACTTTCTTTGCCGTCATTAGGCTGGCTCTTGGAGGCTATCAGGAGAGTGAGAAGATTGAAAACTGCTGCACCTACAGAGAGCGAGAACGTGAGCCTGGCCAGAAGTTATCCCATGAACCTGGCTGGATCCATGATTGTGTGTTTGTGCTGTGCACCCATCTAGAGACCTCACTGCAGGAACATGACATAGTGATAGGTGGTATAAGAACCCATGTGCATTGGAGAAAGGAATGGACTCCTGTCCCTTGTGGAGTCAGGGTTAGGGATTTGACTGTTTGTTTAAGGAGAGGCTGTGGGAAATGACAGTTATTCAAATGCCCAGCAGAGAGCCTTACTTACTGCTTATTTTCATGTTCTCTGTTGAGCTTTTCAGTCTGTCACATCCCAGTTTCTCCTAGCCTTCACCTTCTGATGAGATTTTAGTAATAAAGCTTTATCTTTAGTTGATGTCAAGATATATTGTGTGTTTCTAATTTCTTGAATCTCCATGTGAATATCTTGTCTTGTTAGATCTCTGCATTACGGTTTTCTATTTTAAACCATTTCATTGTAAATGTAGTATTTTGCAACTTTTCTTCCCTTTCCAACAAATTTCTTGTTTTTGTGTAGACTATTAATCATATACTTTGAGTCATGTATTCATGAAGAGAAGAATGTACCATATTAAATTACAGCTTAGGAAAAAATGATCCATGGTTCTTTCTAGAAATTACCATGATGGTATTAAAATTTAGAAAGTACACAATTTTTAAATGTGCTGCTTTGAGATATTCTTATCAAACGCACAGAAAAACAGTGAACAGGCCCTGTCTTTCAGAAATGTTATCATGCCCACCAACATGTAAACATATGAAGCTTGGCAAAAACCATATCAGTTTTATCAGAATGTTTAACAACTTCAACTTTGTACTCCCAACAGTGGTGGGATTTGTCTCCATTTCTAATCTGGCTTGAAACTTCAGTAGCAATCTCACCATAGCCCCACTTGGGATTTCGGGAACTTTCCTAGTCTCTGGAAAATGAAGTTTTAGCCTAATAAATAGTTGACAGCCTCCCTTATCTCCAGTGATAGTTTCCCAAACTGCATTTTTCAGTAGCCTGTTCTGTATGTGAAATTGCAGCTTTTGTTTTTTGAAATTCAGGAGAGTCTGGCAAACTTCGTTTTAAGTGGTAGAGAGAATTTTCTGTTGGGTCCTGAGAAGAGAAATCTCTTAATACCAAAAAGATTCTCAAATAAGATTTGAACAGCAAGAAAATTTGAGGGATGGATCATTAGGTGGATTTGGAGACATTAAAAACTCAGTGTGTATTTGCTATCATATTTACTGGTTTTCCCAAGCGAAACAATTCTTAAGTAGAATAAAATATTAAGTCTGCATTCAGTTTTATTTTACAGAGTGATTATTAGGAAACATGGTAATGCTAGGTGTTTTTCATGATATGAAAACCTTCATATTTGAAGGTTTTAAACATGCTATTGAATATATAATTGAAGCTATTTTGGAAAAAAAAACAGAAAAAACTTTTTTGCCTAGATGCTTGAACAACTTAAAAGAGGAGTTGGTACATTGTTTTTGTTTTTTGTTTGTTTATTTTTTCCCTTTTGGGGGGCCCAGAAATTATATGCAATTGAAAACACAGTGCCTAAAATACATGATTCCCTCCATCACTTTTGACATTGAGCATAAGGAAATCAGAATGATATAGCTCAGTACCTCACTTTTGTTTTTCATGTCAAAAAACTTTAACTTGAGTAATAATACAACCTCCTTTAAAATGAAATTTATCCATTACAACTAAACTAAGTATCAGCCACCTGGGCTCAGGCTCTGTAGGAAATTCTAGGAGTAGTGAATTGTGGGATAAGATACAAAAGGAGGGGTCTTCAAGGTTCCTCCCCGGAGAGAGATACCTTGTGACTTGTATACTTGAAGGTGTTTACATTAAAATGTGAGACTGGCTTGTAGCATTTAATGTTAAATTTAGCTTGCACATTTTCTAATCAAAGATATTGAAATATGAAGTTTGGGTATTAAATGTTGCTTATTCATTATGAAAATGTATAGGTAGGAAAGAGATTAAGATAATGCAATTAAATCATCCCATATAGGATGAAAGTATTCACATAATTTACACAGAGTATACTACACGACACTGGAGAACATGCTGAAAACTGAGAAAATACTCATCATACAGAAAGCGTTTGGTTTTTTGTGCAGTTAATACTGAGTTTGCTAAACCAACCAAAGACTTCAAGATCAGCATACACATTGTTTTCCTGGAAGCCAGTATCATCTTGTCTATTTGACTTAGGGGCTAAAGATTATGTTTTTTTGTTGTTCTTATCATTTTTTGGTGGCACTTGGGTTTGAACTGAGGGCCTCACACTTGCTAGGCAGGTGCTCTTACCACTTGAGTCACTCCTCCAGCCCAAGGTTATGTTTTATATAACTTGCTGGTATATGAAACAAATATAGGTTGATCCTTTATTTGTTTTCATTGGGGGGGTGGTTCTTACTCCATGAAAAATACCCAAAAAGGACACACAAGAGCCCTTTCTAATATATACAGCATTGGGCATTGCAATTGCCCAGAAGTTTCCTAAAAGATTGCCCTGTTTTTGTTTGGAATTTTGTATAATCAGTTCC